GTTGAATCGTGCCGGCGTCGTAAACCTGCAACAGCTTACTTTCAATACCCATTTTTCGTCCGCATTGAAATTGCCTCATGCTCACCCAGAACGGGCTCTCTTAGCAAACATTCTACTCCAAATTAAGGGAATGTTGAACTAGAAGTGTGGCTACGCTGAGATCTCGAGTTCACATAGAGAAACTCCTAATTTGCTGAAGAAAATGGCTAGAACGTTGGATGTGAAGAAGACGAAGTTCTTGAGCTCCAGAATGCACACCAAGTCACAAGGTCTTCAAAGCGTAGAGTACTACCAGTGCTTCGGAAAATTGTCTAGCTGGTGAGTGAGGTGTGGGATAGGCAGGTGGAAAATCTACAATAAGTTGCGTCGTAAATGAAAAGAGGCGATTCTCGTGGCTTACATATACAGGGGTGGCCAAAAAAAGTCACTTCGACCGAGTCACATATCAGCAAAGTTTTCGCAGCCCAGAGAGAAGACGTGGATACAGGGCGGAAGATACCCAAGATGTTCCTCGATAAGCAGGAGCTGGCTCTCGCCCATCACCTTCATGTACACCAAAATATGAAGTCATCTCCAGTCGCAGCCTGACTGGAGAAGACCTTTGGAATTCATGTCACCTCCAAACTGCTCTACCACTAGTATGGAGTCAGAATTGCCAGCAGAAAAAGTATGCTCAAAGGGACTAGGGATTATTGGCTTTCTTGGCCCTAGAGAAAGTTCTTTAATGGGTTTCTGTTGGCTCGCCAGAGCGGTGCATGGGGCGATGAAAGTGGGTCGAGCCAGTGGAGAGAAACGACGACATGGGTGCATTCGAACTCGTTTTTGCGTCGCGAAAGTGGTACAACCGCTACCACCTGAGGACCAAGCTACCTGCTCACAGAGGAAAAGCAAGTTTGCGTCTAATAGCGAAGTGCACACCCAGAAGGTGAAGTTGGCTCTGTTACAACAAGAACGAAGTCGTGAGAGCGATTATGCAGGCAGTACAGTATCTTCCGAGAAGATTATGCAAGAGCAGCGAGGCAAAGTTCCAAATGGATACCACTAATAGAGCTTGAAGACCACTCATTATCCTGAGATCAGTGCCATAACAGTGAACGCCTTGGTCACAGAAAGAGGACGGAGTAATCAAGGAAGGAGAAAATGAAATATAATGAGAATTATTGCGTAATTGATCGAAGTTTCATTTTGGTTCCTTCCTGACGGATGAAACGGAATGAACTTTGTCGCATAAAAATTCAAATCATATGATCACTCCAAGGGTTACGTTTGCGAAAAACAACCAAGCCCTGCTAATGTTTCAGGTAAAAATTCATTTTGGAAAAGTCATAGAACACGAACCTTTCTCGGCACTTTGCCGTGGCTAACGTAACTGTCCGGGATCAGGATGGAGAACTTTCGTTGACAAGGCTGAAATGATGCGCGAACTTCGAAAGGTTCTCCTTCGTATGAATTTTCAGAACTAACCTTGATACCGTCATTACAGTCGTGGTAAATACTCAGCTTAGGGTCAATCGTGGTGTATTCCTTCGTCCAACCTGCCAACTGGAATTCGCCATTCATGTTCGTCGTTTTCTCATCCATCAGATCATCCATGTCCGCTAAAGCGGTCATTATTGTAGGAACCATGATCTTGTTTCACTGTTCTCACTACTACCATTTCTGCTTTCAAGTTACCGTATGACATTGTAAACGATTAGACCCATGATTCGGTCGTTTTTGCGGGCCCCAATAAATCACGTTGTCTCTATAGCCCTGTCCCACTGTCTCTTGGTATTAGCATGCGTATCTACGCTCATTCTCGCTGCAAACACTAGGGCGTCTCAGAGCTATTCTTGGAGCTGCGCGAGCCCGCTTTCCATCATTTGTTATCGCTTGCTCGCTTCAGCAATTGGTGGAAAGCGAGCCGTCGTCGCGCCAAGCTCAGCTCCCCCCCCCCCTCCCATCCTGACAGGCCCAGCATCGAGTCCAGCTGGTTTCTCATTGACAGCAACGACACTGCCTACGTTCTTTGACAGGTCTTCTGTTATTAGGACTGGGTAGAGTGCTTGGTTGTGGCAGCGGAGCTTTGTTGGACAAGCGGCGTGAATGCCCTGACTCTGTCTGCGCACGCAATGGGGGCAAGCGCTGTCACTTTAGATCAGGCTAACCGTTTTACAGAGGAAGAAGGACTTCGCAGCTAATGGTGAGGCCTGCTTCAACCCCCCAACCCAGGAGGATGAAGTTCTGAAGCTTCTCTGGTGACTTTCAAGGCCACGCTTTTTTAAGTCTGTCTTTGGCCTCCCATACGAGTCAGAAGATCTCGCTAACTTTAGATACGCGAAAGTAGGAGCGTAGTTCACGGGTAAGTTCTCCGTTTGGCAACTGCCTGTCTCCGCTTCCCGTGATGAAGATCCTACTATCCTACTATATATAATCCGCTAAGTATGTCTGTAAGTGTGTGTGTGTGTGTGTGTGTGCGTCTGTCTGTCTGTCACGAAATTCATAGCGAGCGTCGCAGAAAAGATAGGACGACAGTTCCAAGAAGTGATATACATGGCAGGACGGGAACACTTTTGGTGGGTGATAGAATGTGATAGCACCTGATAAGATTCGATAAGGGGCCTTAGAAGGGAGGGTGACCGAGCCCATAGTGCGGGACACAGTAACAGTGGGACATTGGTTCCAAGGTATGATATAGGACGGGACAGGAACATTATTGATGGGTGACAGGGAATGATAGCAGCTGATAAGATCCGTCAAGAGGCGTCAGAAGGGGAGGGTGACCGAGCCCATAGTGCGGGCGGCGGACACATAACAGTGGGCATTGTTTCCAAGGTTGAATATAGGACGTAGGGGCGGCGGGGACACAGGAACATTATTGATGGGTGACAGGGAATGATAGCAGCTGATAGGATTTGATAAGGGGAGTTAGAATGGTAAGGTCACCATACACATAACGCGGAACACAGCATCACCTAGGCATTAATTTCAGAAAATGATATAGTGTTGGAGATGGGGACACGGCATGGGTGATAACAGCTGATAGGGGCTGATAAGGATAAGGATAAGGTTCAGTCAAATTGCTGGAGCCTTTACACTACCAAATTACAGAATTTTAGTGATAGGGACATTGATGACGGGTGACAGGATCTTATCAATTGATAAGAAAGGATAAGGAGCCATTATCATTACCTCTCTTATCACTATACCCCAAGTATCAAAGGCTCAGTGTGCATACTTTTCCTTTAGCCATCACTTCCCTGATTGCCCTAGAAACGATGCGATGTCGACGAGCGCGAGGGGGGTCTGAGGGAAATTCGAGGAGAACCGAAAAACACGAGCGGATTGCATGCTAATTGAAAACGGAAACATACATCGCAAGGCATTTCGGTACAGGTAATGGAAACGAATTCTACTCTTTCACTGAGCGATTCATACTGCCCTGTATTGGCCGACTACACATTGTATCTATCTACAGAGTTATGTATTCTATGGGCGTCATGGCGCGGACTACACCGCTGCTGTAAATAGAAGCGCGTGCTGAGTTGTGCGGGATCCTAAGCCTTGCTCTGTCTGTTACGATTCGATCACTACAGCGCCTTATGAGCAGCTCACTACCGAAAAAGTTCCGCTAAAATTATGGAGCCGCCTGGCGAAGCCAGGCCAGCTCGGCGAAGCCGAGCTCAAGAGAAGGAGGAGAGCACGGCGTCAGCCGTGCGATCCGACTGGTAGTTCGATACCAAGTCAATCGGTTGGCAGTGACAGGAAGGATGGAATGAGCCCCTCTAGCATTTTAACCACTAATCGTTTCCTTCCCAAATCCATCACTGCCCGATTTCTAATGGTACAGAGAAAGGCAGCGGGAGGCGGGCTCATCCCCCTCTTCCGACCCCGCCCCGACGATCGCGACGATACCGACTATAAGAAGCAGAGGAAGTCATAATAACATATAGGAGACTTTTCAATTTCAATGGAATTTGATGCTCTAATGTTCTCACTCCGATCGACGTCCCACAGTTTGACTTTGACGCCAACAGCTGGCCGTCCGTCGCAGATTAGCCTTCCTCTGACCTGAAATTGACTCAGATACTCCCTCGTCGTATAGTTTCCAATTATATACTCATTCGCTTTTTTTACAGTAATGATGAAAGGGCAGTTGACTTACTGCAGATGACTGATCTCTGCCGAATAGGTCCACGGCGGTCGCATAGCCAAGGATAGCGCAGACAAGTATACAACGCATATCTGAATGTACAGTAAAAACATACAAGCGTTGGAAAGGCGACGAAATGGTGGCGAGAAACACTCAAACAAGCAAATGATTGCACAAGAATATACTCGAAATCCCTGAGATCGGGTAGGCGTGGCCGCATGTTTCAACTTAACCTGAAGGTGTCTATGCTTCTGGTGAGATATTTTCATCTTGACACAATTGTTGTCGTGTCTCTGTCCAACACAGAACAAGATGACAGTTGTCCCAGACTGGAATATTCGAGTAACCAGTTCCGTGCCATGTTCAAATGCCACGCCTACTCTGACTCAGGGATAGGGAGTGTATAAGGGCATCAAATACTTTGGAATGTCATTATAGCTAACAAATTCGCCCATACTTATTCTGTAAATTCGCCCATGGGTTTCATACATCTGCCTTAGGGTACGAGATGGATATGACAGTTTAGGCTAGTAGCTGTACCCACAAGTATTCTTCAGCTCAGCGGCCCTGGGTCTATTCTACTCAATCTACGCCGTTCCCTAAATTCTTTTACGCTGTATCCTGACAGGCTCTATTAGTGATTTGGAATAAGGACAGAATAAGCAAGACAACAGTGGTTCCG